GATGTTGAAGCTTCCTTCTGTAGATACTCTGTGGGGAAATAGTAGCATCTGGATATGGTTTTGACTTAGTCTGAACTCTTGCTAGTTTGGCATCAAGCTCCAGCTGTAGTTTGATTATTTCATTTTGCTTTTCTTTTTCTTGAGTTATTAACTTTGCATTTAACTCTGAGATTTCCATCTCCTTTTTCTTTATTAGATCTTTGTACTTTTCTTCATTTAATTCAACTTTTTTTCTGCATATCTTGATAAAGTTTGCTTATTTCTATCTTATGTTCTTCCTCTTTGATTTTCATTTCATGTACAAGTTTGGCAATATTATTCTTGTAGTCCTGTTTGAGATTTCAGCTTTTCCCTTGTCATATCAGCATTTATTTTTAGTTGTTCATTTTCACCTCTCAAATTGTGTTGATATTCAATGGTCTGTGGTAGCCCTTATGTCATGAAGAGCAGCACATTCTTTAATTGAGGCTTCCTTTGTTTGCACTACTTTTAATAAAGAGGTACTCTTTTCCAACTGAATTTCCAGTATGTTATTCTTTCCACTGGTTTCTATCATTTTCTTTTCTATCTGAAAAATCCTTTATAAGCTTGTCAGTATTCACACTGCTAATCTTTTTTGTACATCCTTCGCTACTTTGATCCATGCTTGAATTGCTGTTGTTCCTGGTTCCTCAAAGTCTCCCCCGCCTCAATTCTACATCACTCAATTTAAAAATAATTTGTATCCTATTAAAATTGGCTTTTGAGTTAATGCCTGCTAGGCAGACGAAACAAAGTTTCTCTCCTAAATGCCTATTTTGCGCCAGGCATTATATCTCCTGTGTTACTCTATAAATACTGGAGGTGTTTTTCTGTTACATAGGAGGTAATAGAGGTTCTTTTAATTTGGCCAGTTAGTATGTAAGTGGCAGAATAAGGATTTAAATAAACTTAGATTGGTCTGATTCTAAAACCTTTTCTACTTTAATATTAAAATGGTAGTGGGGCTAACAAGCTTTCTTTTCAGCAGAGAGTGAAAACTTGTTTCTGGAATTTAGTGCTTATCTGGACTTTAGTGGCCATATGGGTTTTGATTCCTGCCTGTCCGGTGGGATAATTGGGAAAGAATGAACATTTGGGAGACTGTCACTGTGTGCCTTTCTTCACTCTTCAAAAGGCCTCGCTGCTGCTTTTATTTTATTTTTTTTCCTCGTGGTACTGGCAAGTGAACCGAGTCTTTACTCTGAGCTGCATCTTCAGCCTTCTGCTCTCCTTGTGTGTGTATTTTTTTGGGGGGCTTACCGGGGATCTAACTCAGGACCTTGTGCTTTCAAGGCAGGCATCAGAACCACTGAGCTAAAATCCCCAGCCCTCCCTTTTGGTTTTTGAGACAGGGTCTCACCATGTAGTTCAGGCTGCCCTTGAATGGGTGCTGATCCTCCTGCCTCAGTTTCTCCAGTGCTGGGATTACAGGTGTGTGCCACCACACCTGACTTTTTTTTTTAAAGTTTTTAATGTTGAAGCTGAATGTAGTGATGATGCATGTAATTTCAGCACACTGGGAGGGTGAGGCAGAGGAGGCTCACAAGTTCAAGCCTCCTATGGGCTACTTAGTGATTTAATGAGACCCTTTCTCAAAATGAAGGAAAGGGCTGGGGATGTAGTTCAGAGTAAGTTCTTGGGTTCCATCCCCAGGCCACTGAAAAAAACAAAAGAAAAAGGGCCGGGGATTTAGCTCAGTTGTTCCGCCTGCCACCTGCCTCTGAAATCGAAAGGTCCTGAGTTTGATTCCCGGTACCAAAAAAAAGAAAAAAATATTTAAGTACTAGGGATTGTGCCCAGGGAAAGCATCCTCTCTTCCGCTGGGCTTTGCCTAAAGCCCCTCTGCAGTCCTGAGCTAATTCATGTGGCTCTGGCCAGCCTGCCAGCTCAGGTAAGCACACACAAGCTCACAGACTTTATGCCTCAGTTTGTTTATTTTTGCAGTAGGGGTGTTGAACCCAGGGCTCTTGTACTAAGTAATATCCCCAGCCTCTTTTTTTTGGTACTGGGGTTCAAAGTCGGGACTTTGCACTTTCGAGGCATGCAATGGAACCACTGAGCTTAATCCAATCCCCAGCCTTTTAATTAATTAATTAATTAATTAATTAATTAATTAACTTTTGGTACCTGGGATCGAACTCAGGTCCTTGCACTTGCGCAGCAGGCAGCAAAACCACTGAGCGAAATCCCCGCCCTGCCCCGCCGCCCCCCCCCCTCAATAGAAAAATTTTTTAGGACTGGGGATTTAGCTCAGTGGTACCGCCACCTTCCTCGAAAGCGCAAGGTCCCAAGTTTGATCCCCAGTGCCAAAAAAAAAAATTTTGTTAATGTTTTGAGAGATAAGAGTTGCTAAGTTGCTCAGCATGGGCTCAAACTTGGGATCCTCCTGCCTCAGCATCATCCCACAGTGATAGGATTACAGGTGTGTGCTACCACGAGTAGCTTGCCTCTGTTGGTATACAGTTACATGCAGTATCATGACTTTTCAGAAAGGAAGAAAGGCATTATTGAACTGTTTTTGTTTTTTTTGGTACCGGGGATGGAACTCAGGACCTTGTGCTTGCGAGGCAGGTGGTGGTGGAACCACTGAGCAAGATCCCTGGCCCTTGAACTGTATTTTTTTTTTTTTGTATATCCTTTTATCGGTACATTTTAGGTGTACAACATAATGACACTGAACTGTATTTTGATGGTGGTTCCATAAGATAAAATCACCTCATAGTAGCTGCACCAGTTTGTGCAGGTGCACACCATGATGTTCTCAACAGTAACAGTGTTTTGTTGTTCTTTTGGTACTGGAGATTGAGCTCAAGGCCTTACACATGTTAGGAAGCACTTCCGGTTAGCCATATCCCCAGTCCTTTTTTTCTTTGTTGACAGGGTCTTCTATGTAGCCCAGGCTGGCCCCAACTCCCCTCGATCCTCCTACGTCAGCCTCCCAGCCTCCTGGGATCACAGGCGTGCTCAGCCACACCTGGCATCCCCAGTCCTTTTTATTTTTGTTTCT